TTAGAGTTAGAGTTAGAGTTAGAGTTAGAGTTAGAGTTAGAGTTAGAATAGAATAGAGTAGAGTAGAATAGAATAGAATAGGATAGAATAGAATAGAATAGAATAGAATAACTTTATTGTCACTTTGAATGTACACTAATCGGCATACATTAAAATGAATTTTTGTTGCATAGTTTTCAAACATACGGCTCTCAAAGGGTCTCCACCTCCAATATACACTACATAAACACGACAAAATGAATGGATGGATGGATAGACAGATCAACAGATAGACTTAGACTTGGAATAACTTTATTGTCACTTTGAATGTACACTAACTGGCATACATTAAAATGAAATTTAGTTGCATATGGCTTTCAGAGTGTCTCTACCTCTAATATACACTACATGAACATGACAAGATAAATGAATGAATGAATGAATGAATGAATGATGGATGGATGGATGGATGGATGGATAGGTAGATAGATAGATATGGTAAATAGGTAGACAGACAGGCTTAGAATAACTTTGTCATTTTGAATGTACACTAATCGGCATACATTAAAATGAAATTTCATTGCATACGGCTCTCAAAGGGTCTCCCACCTTTAATATACACTACATAAACATGACAAATAAATAAAAAATACAAAATTATGTATATACCCACATATATTATACGACATAGAGAACCAGCACAGACTGGTTTGGATATATACATGTTCATGGTGATAAAAATGAATCTTGCGAGTTTACCAAATGGATGGCCAAAGGAACAAAGCTGTTAGAGAATAAGGTAGTCCTGCTAGAAATACTCCTAAAAAATACTTTCCCAGAGGGGAGCAACAGAAACAGACCATAAAGTGACTATGTGGAGTCTCTAACAATGCTTTGAGCAAAGCATTGTGCTTAGTTATGCACTAAGCTTAGTTATGCACTGAGCCAAGCCCAATGCTATACACTTAGCATAATGCTTATAAGCCGTATCCTGAATAACAGGAAGCAAGCTTCCTATAATCTTCTCCACTCTCCTCATCACTCTCCGTAGGGACTTTCTATCTGAGGCACTGCTGCCACCAAACCAGACAGTGATGCAGTTTGTTAAAACACTCTCAGTTGTGCTTCTGTAAAAAGTGGCCAGAACAGAAGAAGAAAGATGTGCCCACCTCATCCAATGGGGGAAATGCAGATGCTGGTTTGCATGCTTCTCTAAGGATGACGGTCCACAATAAACCTCTCTTAGAAACGGTTCCTGGTGCCCCAAAGGTTGGGAGCCACTGTTTTAAAATGGTTTCGCTGAATTCCAACTGGATCAGAAAAAGACAGGGGAATACTGAAATGTTAGCAAGTATCAATACAGGTAGCCGTCAGCTTACAACGATTCATCTACTGACTTCAAAGTTACAACCGCATCAAAAAAGTGACATATGTCTATTTTTCACACTTACGGCTATTGCAGCATCCCCTTGGTCACATGATTTAAAGTCAGATGCTTGACAACTCACACTTATGACAGTTGCAATGTTCTGGGGTCATGTAATCACCTTTTGCAAACGTCTGACAAGCAAAATCAATGGGGAAGCCGTTGACTTAACAACCATGTTACTAACTTAATAACTGCAATGATTCACTTAACAAATGTGGCAAGAAAAGTCATAAATATTGGTGGTGGTGAGGAGGAAACTCACTTAATAAATGTCTCACTTAGCAACATAAATTCTGGGCTCAGCTGTGGTCGTAAGTTGAGTTGTATTGCAGACAGGTATTGTTGTCCAAAACAGGTGTTATTTTATGGAAAGCCTGCAGAGTGCTTATTGTTATAACCAGATAGGTAAGGCCTCCTTCACATCGATTGACATCTTCTTCAACTCAAATTGGAACAGGTCACTTTTTACAGCAAGGGTCTTCAAACTTGGCAACTTACAAGATTTGTGGACTTCAACTCCCAGAATTCCTCCTCCAGTCATGTTAGTTCAGGAATTCTGGGAGTTGAAGTCCACAAGTCTTAAACTTGCTAAGTTTGAAGACCCTAGTTTTAGAGACTGGTTCTCCTGGATTCTTTAGTGATACTTTTTGATTTTGTGATTTGAGGAGGCCAAAGAACCACTTGGAGATCAGGAATTGGATCTACCTGGTCCAATGGGAAAGGCTTCCCTGCCTAGATATATTTTTAAGACTCACCAGTCCAACTACCTCAGATCATTTCCAATATTTTTTATCAAACTAACTTGATACCCGTGCTTTGCTATGAAACTATGTGGTCGAGCTTAGTTTTGGGGGAGGAAAATAAGGGAAAAATATACTTACCAACATCTATTGTATTCATCTGGCTAGCGTCCTGTCAGTGTGTGAGAGAGTTGAGGGCTGTTTGGAAACTTAAACACTATTTGCTGTGTAAGAAGAAGGAGACAGCAAGGAGC